GAAGGCTGTCCATCGTGTGCAATGTGTATATTGTGAAAGTGTTCGTCAGGAAGGATAATCCAACGGAGGGAAGTGATATAAATAATAATATGGCCACATCGAAACCTCTCTCAATATTATCATGACTGTTTTCTATGAAAGAGGGTGGCGTGACGTTCCTAAGAAATTCCAGAAAAGTGTCGGTTGAAAATATGTCGGCCATTGTTCAAAATTTGGGATACATGCAGAGAAGTGAAAAGATACTAAGTTTGTCACAAAGATGCCATCCAAAACACTTTGCGCCGTAATTTTTTATTAATAGGAAGCGAAATAGTTGTCCAAGTTAAAATGTTAAACCGAAACAGAGAAGAGAACATCTACTTAGTCATCAAATTAATCATAAAATTTGGCATTATAAGAAAAAAACAAATTACCGGTAGTTGCCATTTAAGTTGAAGCAAAGCGCGAAACATGTCTATCCGACCTCTATTATTTAATGTGATACGAAACCCGTGGAGTGAACATTGGGTTTATAGGCACGAAGTTGGTCGCGAAAAAATGATGGCGTTCAATACACTTTTATTTAGATGTAATTGTCGATTAAGATACAGCAAGATTACTGTCCAAGCAGCGTCTTTGGTGCATGCGAAAGGTTAAAATGTTTGAATGTGTGCTCTAAGTCGTTAACAAATCAAGCGATGCCCGCGACAAATCGAAAGTATAATAGTTAATCAAAAAGTTGCTTTTCTAAACACCTTTATTGAGCCACAATTGTCATTTAGAGGCGCAGTGAAATATATCGAACCGCCGTCTGTTATGCTTGTTAGTTCGAACGTTCATTTATATAACTTGGCTCATACAAAAGCAAGGTGTCACTCTATAATCATCAATGCATTTAATCGTGATATCACTGCCAATTAGCTTAAATTTGAAAAAAAAAATGAAAGAGAATCCATTTGACATGTATCAACATTATACTGACTCCGGCCATTATTAACGTTTGACCAAATTACGTAGCGACAAATCACCTTAATTAAAATTGAAGAAGGCATTTGTAAGCACACACAGCTACACGAATATGTGATTGACAGCTCCGTGACCTTGTTGTTATAATAATAATAGTCTCATATTTGCCAACGCTAACACGAATACATCTAGGGTATAAACAATTAAGTTAGAGTTATCCTGATAAAAAGATAACAATGAGGCAAGGCGTTTTCGATCTTTAGGGGAACAGAATTTGGACACCACATTTACTCGGTGCAGGTGCTGCGATTTTTTTCACTTTGGAGTATACAAACTTTATATTCTAGAGACTTCCTTCATTAATTATGCTTTTTACGTGGGGAGCGATAAGAATTTGCGGTTTTTAACTTTTTAAATCGCTTTCGATAACTCAGCAAATCCAAATGTGATATTGATATTCAAAATATTTCTTACGTGAAATCACCATAGAGACAAAAGATTCTGATTTGTCTAATTGTCAGGGGGACGACCCCCTCGAATACTTGCAAGGAGTGTTGGAAGAAGTCGTAGCGCCCCTTTGCACCACCCTCTTTTCCTCTCTCTCTCTCTCTCTCTCGCTCTCTCTTTTTTCTTTTCTTTTTGTATTTGCCATCTATGGAATATGGGTCTCATAACTACGCCACTGATATTAATGTTATTGAAAAATTGATAGTGCCTAGGTCCAGTGGGAAAGATGAATGCGAATACCTCATTTTCGTATTATTACATGTTCCTATTTTTCTTTATCATTTTATATTATTTCATGTGTTCTAATGATAATGGACACAAATGGACACAAATGTAAACTTCCAAAAGTAAAATAGCAATAATGAACAGATTTGATATATGGATAATATATTCTGAGTGAGTCAGAAAAAATGTCACTCACACTTTTTAAAAGTTGTATTGTTTGAAGTATGAATATTTAATCATGGGTGTCATGATATATTTTGATAGAGTTATCCTCCGAGTACATTTAGGTACCATTTTCATTTGAATCTCTGCATGCATGACTGAACATCAGACACTCTTTACAAGACTGCCTGATTAAAGACAGTACGACAGACAGACACACAAACACACACCCTAACACACACACACATACACACACACGCGCACGCACAAACACACACACGCACAAGCACACGCACACATGGACATGAACACACACACACACACATGTTGGTACTCGTTCCCAGTGGCGTACCTATGGGGGGGCAGGGGGGGCAGAGTGCCCCCCCTGACGGGCTCCAGGGGAAAAAAAGAAAAAGGGGAAAGAAAAGAAAAGAAAGGGAAAGGAGAGAAAAAGAAAAAAGGAAAAGGAAAGAAAAAAGGAAAGAAAGAGAAAAAAGGAAAAAAAAGGAAAGAAAAAAGGAAGAAGAAGAGAAAAGGAAGAAAAAGGGGAAAAAAATAAAGAACATGGCCGTAAGCACCAGGGGGGGGGGGGCAGTTGACCCCAGATATTTTGAAATCGTACAGTTTTTTTCCTAAAAATGTAGTGTAGGCCTATACCAAATCCTTCAATTCTACTTTTGAAAATGCAAAAGTACCCTCATGACCAGTTCAGTCGCTCGAACTCCCTTCACTCCTTTTGCTTTTGAGATTCTTCGAAAACTTTTAACGCATCTTTCCCCCTTCCCCCATCAGAAAAATATTTAGCATACGGCCCTGAAAAATTAAAACAAATGAAAATAGGAAAATATAAGTGATATAACAAATTTGAAACTCTTCGCTGGCGCGAACTGCTTGCTAGCCTATTTTGTATTAAATGTTTTCACTTCCTCGTGAAGAGAAAAGGATTAGTATTGCCTAGAATACAATTGTGCCTGCCCCGACGGGCCTCGACCTGCAACCATGGCAACAATAACACACAATATATGTACCAAATGTTACTAAAAGAGACTAATTCATTTTTCTCGCTCGCTACACTCGCTCGCGAATAAAATGAATAGACATTGCTTTGGAAACAATTGTGCCCACCCTTGACCTGCAACAATATCATTAAAAATGGACGAGTTTTTTCGCCCTCTCGCCAAAAAGGCGTCCATCCTGACCTGCACCAATAAAAACAAGTTTATTTATTAATTTCTATTAAAAGAGAATTTTTTTTTTTTTGCTTGCTCGCTATGCTCGCTTGCCAAAATGGAATTGACACCGCTAACGTGCCCGCCCCAACCTGCAACAACCAGTTAATAATTATGTACGAAACGTTATTCAAAGAAGTTTTGGTGTGCTCGTGCTCGCCAAAAGGGAATTAACATCACCTTAGACATGATTGTGTAAGCCCTGCCCTGCAACAAAAAAATCTGAAATTTATGAACCAATTATCATTACAAAAATTTTGCTCGCTCGCTACGCTCGCTCGCCAAAATAGAAATAACACCGCTTTTAATAATCACGTCCCTGACATGGAACAATTAAACCAAGTTTATATACCATATTTCCCTATAAAGAGAAGTGATTTTTTTTTTTGCTCGCTCGCTACGCTCGCTCGCCAAAATAGAATTAACACCGCTTTTAATAATCACGTCCCTGACATGGAACAATTAAACCAAGTTTATATACCATATTTTCCCTATAAAGAGAAGTGATTTTTTTTTTGCTCGCTCGCTACGCTCGCTCGCCAAAATAGAATTAACACCGCTTTTAATAATCACGTCCCTGACATGGAACAATGAACCCAAGTTTTATGTACCATATTTTCCCTATAAAAGAAAAGTGATTTTTTTTTCGCTCGCTACGCTCGCTAGCTCGTGGACTTATGTGCCCACCACTAACCTGCTACAATATCATTAAAAAGAGAAATGTAGGGGGTTGCCTGCCCGCCAAAATGGGATTGACATTGCCTTAAACACGAGTGTGCCCGCCCCCTACCTGCAACAATCACCCTAAACACAATATTGTTCCCGCGCCCTGCATGGGACAATTGAACCAAGTTTAAGTGGCAATTATTGAAAAAGAAGTGATTTTTTTCTTGCTCGCTACACTAGTTTGCAAAAAAATGAAATTAACGTTGCTAACAAGTGAATGTTCCCACCCCAAACTTGCAACAATACCAGTTTATATACTAAACGTTACTTAAAGATTTTTTTTGCTCGCTCGCTCGCTCGCTCGCCAGAAGTGAAAATTAGCATCGCCTTTTTTGTTTGTTTCGGTCGCTTGCCCCCCCTGACGGAGTACCCCAGGTACGCCACTGCTCGTTCCTGTTCGATTGTATTTCTGAACATTGCGGAGAAAAGTCTTTTTGCCGGGACATCTAGGTAACGGCGGCAGAACTCTTGCAAAAAAACTGCTACACTCTGAGTTGCATACTCGGTGAGCAAAAAATTATCTATTTTGTGATGTAAACTGAGGACGAACCATAATTTGTGTACTTTTGCTACTGAAAAAGAGGCTCAAGTGACTGCTGCCAAATCAGGCAAGCCCTTTTGTAGGCAAGTACAACAAAAGCCAAGACATCCATTGTAAATTGTCATTGTTAACCAACAAAAGACATAGCCAACGATTGTTAATGCACCTACGTATTGAGATAGCGCATTGGATTCATGTGCACTTCATGATGATGATGATGATGATGAAGATTAAGATGATGACAATGATGATGATAATGATGATATGATGGTGGTAGTGAATGTGTACTAAAGGGAAAGATTGTCAGGAAAATGGCACTTAAACATTCAGCGGTCTTGATAAAAAATCAATGCTTAATCAGAAAAGGGGAAATTATGAAACAATTGTTACCGTGTGTTGTGTGAGTGTGCGTGCGTGTGTGTGCGCGTGTGTGCGTGTGTATGTGCGTTTGTGTGTGTGTGTGTTTTTGTCTGTCTGACTGTCTTTGTTCAAAACACTATTTTATTCCTCACCCAGCAACTTGGCGCAAGTGAGATCTGGCAGTCTTGTAAAAGATTGTCTGATGTTCAATACAACTTTTAAAAGGTGGAACATTTTTTCTGACTCACTCTGTATATTAACTACACAAAATAACATTTTACGGAAGACACAGGACCAAAAAGAAGTGATGATTGTTAAGTGTTTAATGGGTACAAATGTATTTAAGTATGGCTAAATATGATATATTGATGTATACAAGTTCACTATGACATGTTGGTAGTTAATCATATTGACGAATTGAATAAAAACTGAATTTTGATTTCATATCGTTCAGAGTTGGCTACGATACGGAATCAATAAACCAATTATTGATAGTACTTAAAGTCTTAACATTTAAAAACCATTCATTAATTGAACGTAAACAGGCAAGGATCAGATTTCACTCTATTGTATCTATACACCCGAACTAGTTTCTCCTGTCAAACTTGTTTTTATATCTGTGAATATCATTACACATCCTACAGTATATTGCTTTTTTTTAAAAACAAAACAAACAAATACATGTTTGTTACAATTTCATGTACACAAGTAAAATACTAAATATGCGTAAATGCAGGTGGCTCTTATTTTGTTTTGAGTACAAGGGGAAATCCGTAAAATTTTAGATGCATGTGAACGTATAACGTTCCCGACATCCTGAAAAATCTAGGAATGTCTGTTTCCCATTTTCTTTACGTTAAAGTATAACATTACAGCTTAATAGGGTATCTCTGACTAAAACATAACAATTGCCTAATTTGGATAATAAAACGGTGAAGAAATCATGAAACAAGATTAAACACAATACGATCTTACACGAGCGATTCAATATCACAGAATATATATGACATTCTAAAAAATTAGCATGTAGCCTTTTTCAAAGTCGATGGTATAAGAAATTAGTGTGGTTCGATACAATGTCCCAATCTGACGGCGTTTATCTCCCGTAAGTTCACAATGGCCTCACAGCGTAGGATATTTGCCTAGAAAACGCTGTGGGAGGAAGTTGAAAAGAAAAAGAAAAAAGGTTATTTGAAGAAAAAAATATAATTATAGAAAATGAAGCTGTTATTATTTCCATTTTAAAACATTATCAAGTTATGACTGCTATTTTCATCAATAATTTAATAGGAAATAGTAATCCACAAAAACTTTCATAGGCAAAATAAAAACAATTAGCCAATCCTCTCTCTCTCTCTCTCTATCTCGGCGCACCCTATCCAGTCCATTAAACCCCTTTTAGGGTTGTTGAACAGTGACCCAGAAGAAGGAGACGAAGGAAAGAAAAAAAAGAAGGAGAAGAAGAAGAAGAAGAAGGAGAAGAAGAAGAAGAGAAGAAGAAGAAGAAGAAGAAGAAGAAGAAGAAGAAGGAGAGGATGAGGAAAGAGAAGAAGTAGAAGAAGTAGAGAAGATGATGAAAAAGGAGACAAAGAAGGAGAAGAAGAAGAAGAAGAAGAAGGAGAAGAAGGAGAAGAAGAAGAAGAAGAAGAAGAAGAAGGAATACGATTTATTCTTGATAATCTTTTTATCTGGTGCTTTGTTCAAATATTTTGCTCGAAAGTATGTATAGAACGATCGCATCTATCCTATGGAAATCATGCACAGATTACATCATATACATATATACGTCATTTTAATGTCTGCACATTCCACTAGGTGTTATACAAGGCTATTGGAATGGCTATAGATTGATTTTTCGAAAGCAGTTGCGATCGATTTTTATTACAATGGAATCCGCTCCCCCAAAATCAGAATAAGAACTTACAAAATATCGACCGGAAAATCCTCTGGAAAATCTGTTTGATTCCCGCTAAATCTAAAGAAAAATGGAAATGAAAGAATGAAGAAGTTAGCAAAATATGCATTTGAAATAGATGTGGAAAGAGATAAGAAAATTTACAACATTTGAAATATCTCTAATGCATCTTTCATCGGCACCTCAATGTAAAAGATACAAATGCTTTCCACCTCGGAATATCGTAAAGTAACAGAGGATTCGGATATGATCCGAGTATAATAATTACAAATTAAAAGATTTAGGTAAACATTTTGAGGTAAACAATTTCTTCTCACTAAACATATCAAATTTTCCAATCACATAAGAACAGTAACCCCAAAATATTGTCGTGATGAAATAGACTTTTATGTAATACTGAACTTTCTTCTTACTTTTCTGACAGAGGCAATCTTTTGGAAGAAAAGTTCATGGCCGATATTATACTAATTCAGATAAAAACTGACGGAGGTCTTATTATGCTGCCTTACTCTTTGAGGCTGTTCACACCGGCAGAGATAGCGCGGTCTAGCGCGCGCTAGACCGCGCTATCTCTGCGGTGTGGAAGGTACAACGTCGTTTCGGTCCGCCCAACAGCGAGCCACGGGGGGCCAACACTGGAGCACCTCTTGGGGGTGGTCCACGAGAGATAGCGCGGTCTAGCGCGCGCTAGACCGCGCTATCTCTGCCGGTGTGAACCCGAGCTACGATAGCACGCCGGATTTCATCGTTCTACACGCGGGGAATTTTATACTCATTCTATTTTGGTGCGATCTGAATCTGAATCGGTACAATAGGCCATTTTCGTAATGTAACCAAATTTAATGCATAAGTGTTTGTGAGGTGCCTCAATACAAATTATTTCATTCACCTGATAGGAACAATAGTATTTCAATAGTCAGAATGCAACTGCATATATTAAGTGTTGCTATATAGGTAGGTCAAGCCATAATGCTTGTCCAACCTGACAACAACTAATGTATGCAGTTTGGATTCTGTCTATTGAAATACTATTATTCTTATCAGGTGAATGAAATAATTTGTATTGAGGCACTTTACAAAGACGTATGCATTACATTTGGTTACATTACGAAAATGGCCTATTCAGAACGTCACGCGTCATGACAACAGGACCTCTCAAAAAAGGGGGTGCAGTTAGACCGCGCTATCTCACTGCGGTGTGGATCCGGCGAATGCCAATGGGCGGACCGTGGGTCGCGCTACGATAGCGCGATCCATGGTCCGCCCACGGTCCCCCCTTGCGGTGTGAACACGCCCTTTGATAGAATACTTAGACCTCGGTTCATAGCTTCCATTGTCAAACCCGTCTTTAGACCACGCTTAAACCAAGTGTCGGATTACATTTCTAGTAGAATACAGGCAAATTAAAATTCGTTAATTATTTGAAGATTTTTTTTTCTCACCGGTAGGGGATGAGATCTCTATCCAGTTCAACACTGTTTGATTCCAGGGTCAAGTTGATTTCGATCAGCGGATTGCTCTGCGTGGTCGTAGCGCTAGTAGACACTCGATCGGGCTCCGGTGTTGTCTTTCGAACACTCGTCGTTTCATCTACCGCTGCCATCGTAGTCGAAGGCTCGAACTCTTCCTCAAACAATATCGGCTCTGTTCTTGGTGACTCCGTGGTCATCCTTGACGTCGACGAAGTCGGAACAGTTGAATCGACAGAGTCTTCTTCCGGTACATCATCCGTGATGGTTCCATTAAAATCGCTAGATCGGCATGGCCCGACTTTCTTGAAAACTAGAATCTCGTTGAGGTATGGAGGTCGGTTGAATGGGTGATCGTAAACTATCATCAAAAGGAATAAAGTACAGAATAATGAGATATTTTGTATATCAAGTGACTTAACTTCTTATTTATGAAAAGAAACCTTATAATTATTGCCTATTGATCAGGCTTAAATAAATAAGTATTGAGGCATGACTTGAAGTGTTCTAGACCCTCAAGAAAACCAGAGACACATTTTAATGTTCCACTTTCAACGTTGACTTTTGAAGAAGTCCACGAGACCATGAGATATTTAATATTACAAGGAATCGGAATCTGCTCACCGTAAGCATTTTACACCACAATGTCAAAATGTGCAGGGTCTTTTAAGAAGAAGGGATAAGAAACTGAGAGGGGGTGGGAAATTGGAAAATTAAAAGGAAGAAAGGAACAGCAGAGGAGTAATCGGCAAAACAATAACGGTTGAAACTCACCGGCAACTGCATATTTATCTCTCACTAAGCAGTGCCCCAGGCCCTGGCGTCCAAGGAAGTCCCGAAGTTCATCGACTTTGCTTTCCACAGTTCTTTGGTTCGGTCGGCCGCCGAACTTGAGGACGAAAGCCTCTATGTCAGGAATCGTCCTGATCCTCATATCTCTCCTATTCGAGCTAGAATACTGAGAAAGCAAACGGAGAGTCTAGTCATTGGAATAAAATAACAAAATGTCATGAAAGCGTTGAAACGATTTGGCATTATAATGATATCGTCTTCTTTACCCAGGATAACCTCATCAGTATCAATACTGCTTTTCCTATGGGCCATGCACTCATTAGGGACAAATATGAAATCACACAAGGCACTGAGCAAGGATCGAACACATGCAGTATCTGGTATGAGAAACAACAGCCCTCACAATTCACAACAGTGCTCCCACTTGGCGAAGCAAGCGAGTTTTAAAAGTTACGCCACTAAAAGAGTCTAATCAAACAAATAAAAACAAAACCCTAATATGGAAACAAAAAGGCTAATATACTAGCGTTGTTTTAAATACCAGGATTATGGATCAATTAGAAGTCTAAGTTTGTGGACGTCCCAGAGAAACTGGTGTTCAATACGGGATGCCCAAGAACTTAGACTTACGACGGTTTCGAGAACCTGACACCTTGGCCCGAATTCACAAAGCAAAGTTTGAGCTCAGACCAAGGTTTGACCTCAAACCTCCTTTTGTTTCGCCAAACCTCCTTTTGTTATTTACAAACCTGGTTTGTAAATAACAAAGGGAGGTTTGGCGAAACAAAAGGAGGTTTGAGCTCAAACCTTGGTCTGAGCTCAAACCTTGCTTTGTGAATTTGGGCCATTGTGTTTGTACGAGCATACCTCGGTTGGCTCAGCAGCGGTGGTGTTAGGTGGCAGCATGTAGGCAGAGATGGCGGTCAGTTTACAGAGACTTGTAGCCAGGCGAGACGGGAAGACGTAGTGGATGAAGGGTGCAGGAGATGGGTAGCGCTGCCCCTCGCTGTTGGCACCTAGATTTTAAAAAAGGAAAGGGATACACTTTACTAATTTCAAATGCTTTTCAATGTTTTGTATGGAGATCAATGCTAAATTTAAACATGTAAACACCCAAAGTAATAATTGGGGGATTGTCCAGTGTCGAATATGGAACAAGAAAATTATTTTGTAAGTAAATTAAAAATAATTTGTATTCTGCAAGAGCCTAAATGTTAGATTTTCTATGGCATTTCTTCGCTGTCGTATTCAGGTTAGAACAAGTGATACAAGTGATACTTAAAGATGCATAATGTAATTGTTCAAATATATGTTATTGTTCAAAGGCTCATAATTAAAACATTCTTCTATAGGTCTTGATAAACAAGTTTTAAAGGACTAAAGTCATGTTCAATTATAACGCGGTAAACCACCCAAAACAACATTGAGAATCTGAACGAGGCTTAGGAAAACAAGTAAATAGTCTGAATTACAAACTTCATATTTTAAAGCCCCACTGCACTACTAATAGCTACTTGCGCCCACTGTATAGCAAACAATGCCTAATGAGTGACTGTTGGTCCCCCCCCCCCCCCCCCCCATGGTCCCCTTTTTCTTATGTTAATTTGATGAGACAACCACCTGTAAATGACCATGCAGGGAGGTCTAATCCATCCTGGCCAAACTATACTGCAGTGAGGCTTTAAGATCACAACTGTGAACATAAGATCTTGATAAATTGAAATATATTACTACCTGCGAGGTATCTCTTTAACGAGCAGTGAGAAACGAATGCAGGCAGCACCATGGTGCAGGCGGGGGCTGTCCTGGTGATGTATGTGCCACCCTTGATCCGTCGTAGCTCTACATCGTCTCGTAGCTGATCGAGGTGCTCGTAAGTAGGGCATCGCGATTCTAGATGAGATATGAAGAGATAGCGAGAGTGGATGGGAGGGAGGGAAAATAGAGGGTAGAGGAAGAGGAAGGGAAGAAGGGAAGAGACAAGGGAATAGAGATAGAAATAGAACAGAAAGACACAGAGAATGGATGGAGAGGGATGAGATAGATAACGTATGAAGACGTAGAGAGAAGTACACCTAATGAAATTTCATAATTTGAATGAATTTTTTCAAAATAAACTGCCTAATGACATAGGGTGATAAAACTTGTTCACTGTACTATACATGTACACATCACGAAATATGAAATCACAAAACATTAAAAAGAAATACATCTAACCTCCACATTGCTCTATTCCATTCTGCGGACTTGGTGTTTCTTGGCGAGTGCAGACCAAGCTCTCTCCCGAAGCTGCAGGGATGAGGATCTCACCAGGCTGGGGTCTCGTAGATCCAGTCGCGATGTCAGCCCACCTACACACAACCAACAAAGTGAATTACAATCGACGTTATACATGAAAATCAAGGATCCAACAAAATTCTTCTGATATTGTCAAACATTTCTGGTCCAAGGGGATTTTATAACAAAAATGTTTGAAATGGGAAAACATATCATTATGTTGGGATGTAGACCTTACCTGGTTGATTGAAATTAAAAACCTGAAGAATAACATGGTAACAAAAAAGTATATGTATATGTGTTACAATTAAGGGTTCTAGGACACCTACCCCCTGGACATCCACCCCCGGATAACCACCCCAGTCAACTACCCCCAGACAACTACCCCCTAGGACAACTGCCCCCTAGGACAACTACCCCTAGGACAACCATCCTAGGGGGTAGTTGTCTGGGGGTAGTTGTCCGGGGATAGTTGTCCTAGGGGTAGTTGTCCTAGAGGATAGTTGTCTGGGATAGTTGTCTTTGGGGGGGTAGTCGTCCTAGAGGGTGGTCGCCCTAGTGGGTAGTTGTCCTAAGGGGTAGTTGTCCTAGGGGGTAGTCGACTAGGGGTGGTTATCCGGGGGTGGATGTCCCGGGTGGAGGTGTCCGAATACGACAATTAAGACCTACAGTATGGAAATAGTCTCGTCACTTCTAAAAAATGATAACATAAAAAACAAATGCTCCTTGGTCGCATTTTATTGTAAGATATTTATGAAATTATTGGCACTAACGTTTCATAGAATGCAGTGTGGTATATCCCATGTTCAAATAATTCTCCAGCCAAATCGGTTGCGTCCTGCAGCTGGAAGAACTCATCGTAAATTGCGAGAGTGCCAGGCCGGCGGTGGAGGCGAAAGTGTGTAGCAAAATACACCTGTCGTGGCTCGGAGCTGATATTCAGCTTTATGTAAAGATGGAAGGAAGCAAGAATTAACAAGTCTTAATTCATTTAAAAAAAATTATGAATTCCAACCAACATATTACCGGTAATCAACGGAAATGAATGACAATTTATAAGTCTTTCATCAAAGGTTGCTGAAGTAACAAGGAATTGAGGAGATAGAGTATTGTAGAAATGGGAATTTTGGTAATTGGGGGGGGGGGGTAAACAAAGTTGAATAAATTATATTATAAAAATAATGTAAAATATTAGAACAGTGTTTCTGATTCATGTATAGACTTGTATGAGGAAATAATGATTGGGTTGGGACCATGGGACCTAAAAGTGAGATAAATACCATAGGGTCGGTCGGCATTGGCGCCCTCTGATTACCAGTTGGTACCAGTGCAGAGAGTCTGAATTCTTCCACTGTATCTTCGGTATCACTGATGGTTCCGTTCACACCTGTCACGGTCATCCTCAGCGGTCGGGACATCAACATGATACGCACTAGAGAAAAAAAAACGTTTGATGCAATTGACACTATTTTTATTCCTGAAGTAGATTTTTTTTAAATCCCGTAAGTAAAACTCCCGACTCGGATGTTGATTGCACTCTTAGTCAACGTAAGGCGTTTTTTTTTCTTACCAGTTGTTTCCGATCTTTTATATTTAAACAGATTTTACGGCAGATTAATTACGATCATTATCAGCAGCATCATCGTCAGCGTTATTATCGTCATCATTATTATGCAACTTTTCAGCACTTTGATATAATTATTATGACTAACCAATCATTGATGGGGGCGGAGGAGGGGCGAGGAGGACGACACGAACTTGAATAAAAGACTTATTTTACTGAATAGCTAGAAAGTGACCTTGATAAGTCTTACAAGAAGCAATAACTGAACAGCGGAGAATATTTTGAAGCTCAGAGAAAAGACGAAAGTATTTTAACTGTAAATCATGTTTTTAAATATTGTATAGCTATATTATTTACCAAATTATCCTTTTGAAATATCTTTCCACAGATGTCATATCGGGAAATCGTTCTTATTTTTAAAAATCCATCATCAGCTGTAGCCGTTATGCTTTTACATAGTTGTAATAAGTCAGAGTGGCTTAAGCCCTTTGCGGATCTTCGTAACAGTCTCCCGGGCCTTTTGGCAACTTTTGTTAGGATTCCCGAGACTGACAGGTCACTTCGGCCCTTGGTCTACTCGGATATCCCGTTGATGAAATAGAATAGGCTCAGTATATGTTTTGTGACGTACCTTGGTCATTTGCGCCATTGAAGTATTCCTTTATACGCCTGAGGACATCCATGCTCGTACCGTTCACAACGGTTGCACTGACCCACGTACTAGACTCGTAGCGACGTGCAGAATAGTGGCGCCCATGGCAGAGGGAGTCATAGGAAGGACCAGCGCCACCAGGCCGGTGAGGAGGTTGAGCAATGGGGTGATGAGGAATGTGATGAGGATGATGTTGTCTGTCGGGGAAGGTATCCCGGAAGGTATGGAAGCTGATGTGAGAGAGCGATATAGGTATAATTTTTTTTTTTAAAGGGGGGGAGAGGAAATCATTATACACGTAAAAGCTTATACGGGATTCGACATAACAAAGAACTAACCAACAGGCAAAACATGAGACCAAAAAACAACAATATGCATATATAGATCTAGTTAGGTAGGCAAGTAGATAAATTACTTGTTCTGCATAATAGGCATATACACATGTATTCTGTTTGCTATATTGCTATAAATTTGTTTACTCGTTACCACAAACGGGTATATCATTAAGGTCTAGATATGTTATATTTCAACGTTGAGAAATCACCTTGTCTGTATATTCCTCCTCCAGACTAATTCGAAATATTTCAGTCAATATGTCCATAAATAATGGTGGAATTTGGCCACAAAAATCACTCTCGTCTTAATGTTATGTATCCAATTGACTGGTTGATATCATCTAGAAATCATTTCGGTTAAAGTTATATATAATAAAGCAAATTAAAGGAAATAAGAGTTAAGTTTACCTTTGATTAAAGGGTATGAAATAGCGTCACAATATTTGTAACAGGATCGGAGAGAAATGAGTGGCATAAGCCTAAACTTTAAAAAAATATGCACACTCGACTCAATAACAGAAATAATACAAATTAATTTAGGACAGTACAGACCTACACTTAGATATATTGAACTTACAAGGTATCACTGGGTCCGGGTCTTGGAAACATTGGTCTCATAGGGGTATGCCAACTCCCTGGTTGCCATCTTGGGTTCATTGCCCCTGCTCCACCATCCATATCTCGAAATGGCCATCCAACTCTCGATCCAAAACGGTCTCCACCTTCTCCTCGACCTCCAATCCCTGCGTCCGGGTGGACTGGTCCAGGTCTTGGTTTGACCTCTGGCCTCACCTCGGGTTTGTTGAACCATCCCCATGTCAACTTCCAGTCCCCTCCGTTATGTCTCGAGAAGGAGGGGTTGAATCTTCTATTACTGAGTTGACGAAACCATTCCGATACAGGCCTCAATGTGTCATGAAATTCTCGGACTGGGAAGTCTGATACTTCAACCCGTGGCACGTCTGGGACATGGATATCTGGAATGTCTGGGACATGGATTTCAGGAATTTCTGGGACCTTGATGTCTGGAATTTTAACGTCGGGAATTCGAAAGTCCGGAAGCTTTACATCAGGGATCCGAATCTCAGGAATTTTCACTTCTGGTATACGGATATTCGGTATTTGCGGTATCGGGCGCTTGGGAACCCTAACCGTTGGAACTCGAAAGTTTGGTCTCCATGAGATTTGTCGTCTATTGCTGTAATTAAATGAAAGAGATAAGAAGGATTTTATCAATTTAAATCAATGTTTAGTGTGTTGGTGTACCATACAGGGCCAATAGGAGGAAATTGTTTTTATAAATCATTTTCGAAAACAACACTTCTCGGATTGTAACCTTGATAAGACAAAACATTGATTAACTAAATATCGGCTCTTTGCTAATTTTCAGGGCCTCTGATTAGGAGGAGGATGTGGAACGAGTCATTTCATCTCCTTTTCTCGCCCTGCTCCCAAATTATCTCTTTTATATTTTGTCTTCGTTTACCTTTTTTTTCTGTCTACCTGTAGCTACTCCACTCAGATCAGAATAGAAAAATGGCACACCTATGGTCCTTTGTAATTAATTTTCAAAATATCCTTCGGCACATTTCAGATTCTTTAGGCAGTTATTACACTATTTGCCAACCCATGAACGTATTATATTATTTTGTTTTCCATGGAAAGAAAAGGAAGTGCAGCAATATTTGGGTTTACGTTTTTTTAAATCTTTTAATTCAAATGGATTTTAATACTTCTCGTCGTAGTCACATATGACAGAGTAACAAATATGATATCTAGACAACGTCATATTTGGTAATCGAACCCTGTTTGTGAATATCTTTCCATATTATTTCTCCAATGAACGCAAGATCTGGGACGGTTCCAGGATTGTTGACTGGAAAGATCAAGAAATCTACCCCCCCCCCCACCGTTTCACGACCATGTCACCGCCTCCCTAGCATCCATGAATCTACTTCTCCCGTCTTGTTATCAAGATAATATGTATTGTAAATTTACGTACCTAGCTTTATTTCACTTCAAATTTAAATAAATAAATTGGACATAAATCCTTTAGAATTTTGTGAGGGAAGAGAAATTTAAATAAATTTCCAGCAGCGATCGGGAAAAATCAGCTTTGGGAAATATCCCGTAGAAATTGGGTTAGGATGACGATTAAAGTTAATGTAATGTTCGCACCATTCGCTGGGTTATGGAAACTAAAAATTACTATTTAGGTTCATTTTACCAACGTCTTTGCGATCATGTTCAGGTCATTTGCGGGAAGTCACATTCTAAAACGAGTTTGGTAAAATCTTATCCACTTTGGGGTAAATTTTTATTTAATATTGTTTTAAGTGCAAAGAAAGGACGTTAACTCTGTATTAAAGTATATGAGTCAACGCCCTCCTGGCTCTAAACAACACGATTGTTTCCATTTTCACCCGATAAAGGAGCTAGAGAAAGAAATTCGATGAAAAGTCGTCTTACCGGTATGTATGACGGCGGCTTGCTTCAGTCACCCCACTCAGAGCCACCACCAGGAGTATGAAGCTAAGAACCTGTAGGGTGTGCATCTTGAGAGCTTGATCCAGCCACGCCCTACATCGAGAGAGAGAGAGAGAGAGAGAGAGAGACAGAGACAGAGAGAGAGAGAGAGAGTGAGAGAGAGAGAGAAATGTGTCATGTACAATCTTAAATGAGAATAATGATTTGGTTTGATTTATTTCTCTTTTTTGATCTTTTTTCAGATTTACTTTATCACTGATTACAACAAAACAGAATAATGTGATCGATACATTATTATTGAAAAGTAATTACATGCATGAAGCGTTAAACGAAAATGAATATACAATGACAAGGGAAAATGACAAAGAAAAAAAAGACAAAAGCACGTGTTTATCTCTTCTCTTCGAACAATCTTACTCCCGAGATATAGTTCATATTAGATCTTTCAGTTTCATGATGTCCTTTCATATTTCAGATTTGGTGATTAGAAAGTTTGTCTCTATATGGTATAATTACAAGAGCAATAGCTTTAGAAAGACCGCAGTACAGCACCACGTTGTCTGTAATAATGATAACATATACTTTATTTGATGGGCGCGGTAAAATGTGTCGCTTATCATAATATTGATAATTTACTGACATTCATTGCTTTTTTTACGCACTATAATGCTGCAGATGATGATATCGAGTATTTCTACAAGAAAAGAGAGGTATGAGGAAATGATCCTCGCATATATATTTTGTATTGCTATGAGGCACATTAATGATTCGGTCTGTTCAGTTATTTTGATGCATCTGGTGACCAGCTTTCATACCGGACATGTTATGGCGGATATAAGTTCACGGTGGGTTCAGTTATTTTATGTTTGTCTATCGAGGGTATGGTGTAAGAGCAGGCAACCCCCCCCCCCACACACCCACCATATTTTAATGGTTAACACATGTATCATCGTAGAAATTGGGAATTGGAAAAGCGCTTGCTAGCTAGACCCCCCTCACCCTCGTTATAATGTTAAGGGAGGAATCCATTAGCGTTAGTTGTTGTTTGTTTTCGTTAAAAGTAATAAGAAGTCCATTCCCACCCCTTCTCCTCTCTCTCTCTCTCCCTCTTTTCATGGATTTCTCTCATATATCATTAATTGTCTTAGATCGATACATGTGTAAATTATGGCTCTTTCCTCTTCATAGGCTTTTCTGTTGACCTAATATCGCCTGCTTTTTAAGAGATTTAAAATTTCTGAGTGACCTCATTCTTTGTCCCCATTTAGAGAGCAGAGGGTATAATAAGTTAATTAAATATGTCGACAAGTCCCGATCTTTCCCAGATAACGTGCAAGGTGTAAGCTTAAAATGAGTTTACAATAATCGTTTGAGGTGTCCCCCCCCCCCTCCCCCATCTACAGATGCAGACATTTGAGACTTTTCCATGCCTCCAAATTAATCCTACACGAATATGGGTGTTTATACAATGAATATAATTATAACATATCGTATGCAACAACTGTTGTAGTCAAAATGTAGTCAAAATGCTAGAAATAAATATTATTCCTGATTATGTCGAGATTCAAATAAATAAAGTCACTTACCTATATCAAAACCGCTCAAACTGAGATCCAAATCAGTCCAGTACTAGTACTTCTTTCTCCAATGAAACGGTTCAGTTAAAATTGTGCTTCGATCATGCAATTCACTCCCAGATTTAGTATCAAAGGCTTGCTGTTTGTCCAGCTCAGATAGCAGGAGATCCGTTCTCTATGCGCACACATATGAGTGAATTAAGCTTCCCGGAAAACATGTCCCAGTATTACAATTTGATAGAACAATGCGAATCGAAGTTTGTTAACCTTTTTGTCTCTGTTTTTCCCGGATATCTGACGATTGGCTGTGCAGGGTTTAATCCCTGTTATGGAAAAAAAAAAACATGCACGCAACAAAGAACGCCTATACTGAGTATATTGTGTAGGCAGCAATGCTCATAGGCAGTTATTCTTTCAAGGGGCAGCTCCAGTGTTTTGTAAAGTGGGGCCCAATTCCCCTCAAATGTGACCAGCAACAAAGAAAAGGGACCAATATACAAAAGCATATGTCAAGTCTCCTTTAAAAGAAAGAGGGGGGAGGCCTTTGGCCAATCTTTATGTCTTCAGTAAGAAACTTTGAATGGAATCCAATGTCCGAGATTTATCATGACGATTCTGAAGGTTCGATACTTATCTTTATTCTGATACGTACCAAGGATATCTGAGTTCTATGTGTCATGGTTGTTCTGATCTTTGTGTGTTCAACGGCCATTTGCACTAAACATTGAGATATTGCGAATATCACGACTGCACGGTGGCGGAACCAGGATTCTTGGGCAGCAGGGGAGAGGAGGGGAGGGGAGGGGACACAGGTTCGCAATACTATGACAACCAAAAAGTGTCAGCAGCCCCCTTCTCCCCCCCCCCCTTAATGGGAAGGGGGGGTATTGCACCCAGGTGCCAACCTGGATCTGCCCCGAAAATCACGATGTTAGGAATATGTACTGTAATTTGTCCGCCCCCCTGCCCACACCCCCCCCCCCCTCCTCCCCCTCACCCCCCCCCCAAAAAAAATGCCACGAATATGGACATAAATTATGTTGTCGACGGATTATTTCTATTTTCTTCCGTATTGTTTTCGTTGAGACCTTTTTCAACAGTATAATGCGCTATATAAGAACAAAAACTTATTTTCTATTATCAGCATGTAATATGGATTTGGTCTTACAATCGCGTTTATATAGTCAAATATGCTTTGTGCAGTATGAGAACATATATAGTCTTAAGCAATATAAGTAATGTGAGTTTTCGATATTCATTGAGTAATTGAATGTATGAAACAGTTTACAAAACAAAAGAAGCTTAAGTATTCTCTCAACAAACTAAGTTGATAGGATTTTAGTAGAAACTTTTTAATAAATTCTTTCTTTATATGTATTTATACACAGTGAAGTCACATTAGATAACCTTCCAAAATAAACAAAACCTTTCAAAACCAAACATACATTACATTTTATTAATTGTAGGAAGCACAATTCTGCTTAGCTATTACTTGATATACAATGTACAAATATTGAAGACAGGATATGTTATATATAAGAAAAGGGTCGTATCTTTAATTTATAAAGGAATTATAGGGCTTTTTTCAGTCGTTCACATTGCAAATTACATGATAACGCAACCACATAACAAACAAGAAATATAAAACAGAAAATTAAAGATTGGACGTCATCTCATATTTTTTCATAAGATAAACAAAATATTGTTCAATATAATAATACAACATGAATATAACAAAGCACGTAGAAAGTTTGAAATTAACAACATTAATGATAATGCTAAATATATTACTCATTGCGGATGTAGTATCGAAAATAATATCGCTATTGATATTCGTTTGTCTCGCAATGTGGTCAATAAGGAATCTAAAAGATCACGACGTATAAAAGACCCTTGCTTACATTTTTTTTATCACCTGACGAAGTGTTGCAGATAGCGCACGAAACGTCGTGATCTTTTAGATTCCTTATTGACCACATTGCGAGACAAACGAATATCAATAGCGATATTATTTTCAACATTAATGATTATAGGAAATATTGAGCCTCGTTCAGACATAATGCGGGAAAACCGCGGCGGATTCCTTTTTTTTGTCCATGATAAATGCAATATATTTCTGTATCTTATTACACAGAGCTTTGTGAATACACTCAGGATCCGTGTTGCCATTCGTTTACAAGTAAAAACACTGAGGCGGCATTTTTGTTGCGGTTTACTGCATCATATCTTAACTATAGCATTGAACTATATTTATTCAACCTCGTGTAATCACTTGACCCAAGCCTATATTCCTTAATGAATGGTTTGTATTTTTCTTTGAACCTGTACAGTATCCATCAACGCATATGGTGTACTCTTTAATCTCAAACTTTTTTAATTTGAACTATTGATCAACATTCCATTAAAAAAATGATTTAAGACATTACATTTTCATATTTTTTCCAAGCCCCCCTAAGAAAAGATGGTAGGAAAAAATGTGAAAAGGTAAAAACAAATCATATTTATAAGGATAAACGCTTACTGCTAAATTATAAGCTTACGTCTCTGATATTTATATCAATTTGAACCCAAACTTTATATTCCGGTGCTTTTTCTGATATTAAAATATGACATTTTGATATTCGTACATTACACGCCACTCTTTTAATACAAAATATACACAGGAATAGTAAATGTGCGGAGATATAAATCTCCATATATCTTTTGAACTGTCCTGATGCGTGTTTTTTAAATAGCATATAGCATAATACATATAATTCACATAATACAATAAAAGCTGCTCGATTATGCGATGATGCTATGACAATTGCTGCAATGAACTTTATCCGACTTTTCGCCAACCACGCAGAGTTGTGTTTCTAATGGAAACATAGAGGAGAGGGGCCAAAGACAAAGAAGAATGAAAGTAATCGTTCTCTTCATTAAATAAATGCATTATTTAGTCGAACTCTTCGATGTTCTAAATTACCTACCTAGGAAACATAAAGCATTCCAATCTCTTCAAACATTACGTGTTATTCATCAGACTCATTTTCATTATAAAAGTGAAAATAAAAAAATTATCGGTGAATTTTTTACCAAAAGTAATGAATTTATGTCAGAAATATGGATGTCGTCATTATTTGGGCAAAATAAGCGGGTGGCGGAGCAGTTGCTGTCGTAACAAGTATTATGGATGATAGCAACCGTGGGCGCTGACCCCATTTCCCCGCCCCTGACTACCGCCCCTAATAGGACATAATGATAAGATTATGTACTTTGTCACTCGGTCGTAGGTCCCGGGTCCGAGCACCAGCGTCGAGGAGTGTCATCCAATTTCAATGGAATGAGGATTTCGTTGTGGCGATCCGTCAACTTCATTGGACTGGACAGGAAAACAAAGATATGATGACAAAATCATAATAATAATAATAATAATAATATTCAGCTTTATATAGTGCTTATCACAAATGTCTCTAAGCGCTTTACAAATATACTTCATAGATGTGAAGAAAAAAAAATGATTAGTGCCTTACGGTGTCATAATTTCCGTACACTCTAATCAAAATCTTGAAAATGTGCATTAATTTCAAATAATCATACGATATAAATCATTTTAGTGAATTGAGAATTGCATTTCTTCGGATTGACGGAATGACGGATTGAGCATTGGTAAAATGGCGCCTGGTTGGAATGTTCCCTAGGAAGAGGAGAATGTTCTTGCATTGTGTGCTGACAATCCTCAATCCAATGACCAGGTAATAATACAATTTATTGAGCGCTCTGGTTCATAAAGTTATGAGCCAGAGCAATATAACACTGAGCTCCTATAGGAAATCATTTTATTCAGATGGTCATGTCTCAGCCAATACTTAACCTTTTTAACTGGTTTTCGACGTTTGGCCATTATTTCTTGTGCTCTTTCGGAAAATGAAGAAAAAGTTGAGAAATTCTAAAAATAGATTTTTTATATTGGACCACCCAGTTACAATGCATCGTGAAATCCCATCATTACCAACGAACGTTTTCACAAAGTGGTTCACATAAAAACACAAAATAAACCAAGAAAGGTGGAATAAACTTACGTATCGTACACATCAACGAAAAGGGACGACCCGAGTGAGTCCGATTGATTCCGATTAGAGTTCGGAAGAAGTCGGGCCAACCGATGGGCTTGTTTGTCCACTCGGTTGCTGATGGGAAATCCGCCGAACGACAAGGCGTAGAACCGAGACGGTCTCAAATCCTCAATGAAGATCTATACACAAAACAAGATTCAGATTTTGAACAACATGACTTGATAAATTCCTTTATCCGCTATCTCTTGAAAGAAACCAGGTAGACTGATAAATTGACGACGGGTTTTAATCCAATATCGTCTTTGCTGGAGACAGTTTAATCAATCAAAGAAATCGTCTTATGAATAGATAATACAGTATAAATTGACATGGATATATGAAAAGATATGAGAAAGCAAAAAAAAAAACGACAAAGGAGCAGGGACAGGCAAATAACATATAAAAGTGATCGGAAGCAATATAATATATACAGACATAGAACATGAAGAGAGAGCGAAAACCATGGAGGCGGACTTATGACAAAAATAACAGGAAAAATGATTGGAAGGAGTTGTCTGGGATCGTTTCACCAAGCCTTAAAAACGATTCGATAATACAATTCGCAAGTATCAGTTTTAAGCTAAAACTGATTTTTTAAATCTAAATAAATTCTAGTTGATGAAACATCCCCTTGATTTTGGAAAAACTTACCCGTCGATCAAGTGGCGTCGGGAAATCCACAGCTCGTTTGCGAGGCGTATAGAATGAGACAGTGTAGCGGGTTCGACCACCCCATCCTCCCCGGGGCTCCTCCGTGCCTCTCCCAGTAGTTGCTGATGTAACCTGTGTCCGAACTGGCTTGGCCATTTCTAGCTTTTCTCCTGGGAGACATAATTAAGAAGAGCGGAGAACTTAATCGGGAGGTCCCGGGTTCGAAACCAAGGCGATATTACTATTTCCGTTGCTTAGGTACAAGCATAGTTAAAGAAAGGAATTAGGAACTGACCCTAAGCATGTGTCATACATTATTATAAATCTATTCATTTTGTTTGCTCCTTTGTATTCGTTACGTAATACTATATCATCCATTATCTGTCCCTTTTTTTTTCTTTCCCTTATGTTGTTTTGTGTCACTTTCTGCAACGCCCATTTATCTCATTATTCAAGATTCTGTTTTTTTTAACTGAACAATATTTTGTGTTTAAACCCATTATAATTCCATGATCGCAGATGACAAATAGACATATAAAATGTGAAAAGCACAAAAAGTAACATCGAGAATAAACAACATGGTGTTAAAAGAAGGAAGGTAAATGAAAGGGGATCAAGATTAAAGATCTTTAATTCATTTTGTAATGCTGAAAAAAAACTCACCCCTTGTGTTTTCTCCTTGTATATATTTGAATAGCCGGTGAAAGCCGATATAAGTAGCGACGTCGAAAGATGAGGTGTTCACCACGGTCGAAATCCATGTCGAACGACGATACGATCGCACTTCGACGTCGCCTAATGAACATATTATCCTGTAATTTGGGAGTGACATCGGCTGTCTGTGTACAATTTTTTTTTATTTATTTATTGATATTTTTGCATTCACATGGATTAGGCCTAATAATATGGAAAATATTAATCCGTCTACATTGGGGCTATCAACTTAATACAATGAACAGATAGAATGAAACGGTAAATGTGGTCGGGGAAATAGTGGACAAAACAGTCTGTTTAATTCACCCCAAAAATTGTTAACTTAAACCTAAATTTACAGAACAACAGAAACACGCGTAATGAATTCTTCGATTAATATGTAATTATTACACTATTGTCTATTTAAACGTATTTTGCAATCATTCTAATTTATAAACCTCTCTCAATCCGGCCAGTGTCCGCTATTTGCAATATAATTTTTTCCTATCGATTCATTTGGAAATTTGCTCGCATGGATTAACAGATTAACAAGTGCCATTGGGTTATGAAACAGTAGGCTATAACTATTGGATAAACTAGCACTCACCCTTCTCCGTGGGGTCCCATACTGAACCCGATACTTCTAAACTCTTCCAAGAGATGGCTTTCGACAGATGTCCCTAGAGTCTGCAAGTACATCAGCAGTTCTGGAGGAAGTCGCTGCATGATAGAAGAGGTGCCGGGATCCTGAACAACCAAACCTGGTGCCGCGGAGAGTCCAGGTTGCTGGAAGTCCAAATTGCTTCTAGATGGACTTATTGGTTTGACTGCCAGGAGTTCAGGTAAGCGCGATGGAAGAGGGTGATGGTGTGTTGTCGGCTCGGGTTGGTTTGGACTTTCGGGTGGGCCGTCTGTTGAAGGACTAGGCCATAGTGGAAAGTTCACCCGACTCGAACTTCTAGGTTGGGCCAATTCTTGACTAGGGTGTCCAGATGAAATGGATCCATCGAGACTTTCGGGCACGGAGGGAACCGAAGTTGATTTTGCGGAGGGGACAGTCTCCAAGAGAAACACAGAACCGGGTACCTTTTGAGTTTGCAAATAGCGATTATGTTCAGATAAGACCGTCGTTAGCGAGTCGGCGCTGCCTCCGAAAACCAATCCTGGACCTTCATCCGCCTTACGTTTCTCAGCCGCGTAATCGTTCACCCCGTCCTCGTCGGATTTGTTGTCGAGATCGATTTTTCTAGCTCGAGAAGGATAAAACTCTTTGTTCTGAGCTGTATCTAAGATTCGACCCGGGCCTCCTGGTCGCAGACCACTCACAGAGCCGAGATTGTCCGTCGTTAGATATTCTTCGGCATTGACACTGATCGAATGATGTCGAGCGGGATCATCGAGATCTCCGGATCCCTCGATGACGAGGGTTGGTTTCTCTTTTGTTGGGCATCCTCGAGACGTTGTTGATATCAAGAGAACAAAAGTGATGACTTGGAAGAAATTCATCTTTAATGAATCTGTATGGCAAAGACCAAACATACAAAATGTACGAGACAAGGAACAGTTATTTGCTATTATTAGAACTAATATCTTCATAATTATCCTCGTATTTTGGGTAAAAAAAGTCTGTGAAATGGATTGAGAATATGATTTAACCCTATACATTTTTTAAAGGAACTAAACCTTAGTCTAATATATTTGTTTATGTATTCATAGCAACCAAAGGGTTGGTATGAGTATGGTATTTATTCATTTCCCTTTTAATCTTTGCGGTTATTTTGTTGCCGCTGACTCTTTTCTTCTCCTTTCTCTCATTTCTAAAAGAGCATTTTGTTAAGTTTCTAATTAGGCTTAATATTAACTTTATATTATCAAGATTATGTGTCGGCAAAAAGGCGATTCGTATATCAAAAGTAATGCGTGTGTCACCCTACGTTAAGATCATCTTCTCCTGACTAAAATGATATTGTAGCAATGCACAAAATCATCATCAAAATTAGCCTCAGTACGTATATAATGCATTAAGAATTATCCGGACAGTAAGTTTCTTAACAATGACGAACATTACTATGTCTAACATTTTCATGCTCAAATTAAATGACGAAATTCAGGTCAGACTCACCATTGGTTATCTTAACGCAAAATTGTTATAAAATAAGAGCACTTGAAACAGAATAGTACATTCACATTGTATCGGCTGCTCGGATCTCGTATCTAAAACTAATATATCTACAGTTTATTCATAACAACGAAAAATCAACTGAAGAACAAATGCATTAAAGATTACAGTGCGCGTACGACAATGATCAAAATTAATTGTGAGGAAAAGAAGGAGAAAATAATTACAAGAGAAAAAGTGAACAGAAACAACAATATAAAAAACATCTGTGAAATAAATAAATAAACTTCATACCTTTGAGTCTGGTTCTAAAATGGCACAGATAACTCAATGTTTTTTCCTCTCTCTCTAACCGAATGATAATGATAATGATAATGTTCGTTTCGGAAAACCTTTATATCCTCTGAACGAACCGGAGTTAGATGGGCGAAAAAATATGAATAAACTTTATGCACGTACACCAAAAATTACAAACATCACGCAGTCCAAGTACATGAAATCATTTAGAAAAGTGACGTCATTTAAAGGTTTAATAAAAAATAAAAAAGTAACATGTATAAATGGACGTTGGAAAGAATTCCTGGCTGTAATTGGTCATTTCTTCATCTGTCGTAGAATTATGGGCGTTACTTACAAGTACGAATCCACCTACTTTACTAATACTACAGACATTTCATGTTTGTAGTGATTGCTGTGATTGGTCGTTTATTAGAATTATGGGCGTGTCTTACAATTACGATGTCATCCAGTTTAAAAACACTAAGACGTTTCAAGTTTATTTACACTCCAGATATTGAACATATGAGCACATTTTACAAATTCTTTCTTGTAGCGTTCGAGAAAACTAGATCCGGCTGCAAATCTTTACACGCGTACTTCAACTTTTGAACTCTAAGCGGAATGCGTGAAAAAGAGCCCCTAAAAATGACGTTTGGAAGGGCGTTGGCACCATTGGCGTTTCCAGAGGGCTTGCGGGGTGCATGTCGCCCTATTAGGAAAATAAAAGAATCCTGGCGTAGCTAAATTACAAAACAAATGATGATATACACGAATTTGGGTTCCTGTATCCATGTCTCAAGCAAAATTAAACCGAAAAACACGTAAATACGCTAAAGCCATTCGTGTTTCTTTCTTTGCTTGATTTTTACTTGAACTGAAAAAGAACGTAAAAAAATGCGATAACCTTTTTTAATTATTTGTTGGCTTGTTGTTTTATTCGTTTGTTTCTTTCTTTCCTGCTTGTCAGAGAATTTTGGAGTAATATTGCAGGGATTCCAAAAAAAGCAAGATATTTTGGACTTTTGCTGCCTCCCTCCCCTACCCCAAGAATATCCAGCATCTGCCCCTAAGCAAGCATCCACTGCCGAATCCTACCCTCTCGGTGAACTTGGTAAACACACTCCCCTCAAGGTTCCTGTCATTTCATCACGAGGGATAGAGGGAGATCATCTCGTGAAACTGAGAAGACTGCCCCTCTCCGAACTTTTTAATTCGTAAATAAGGAGCTCAGTCCCGGTTCAAGAGCAAGTCAGCAACAAATCTTGCACGTACGTCATTCTTCTAAGAAAGACCTTCCCAAAACCATCGCCAGATGAAGCTCCTCTTTGTTCATCTCGTTTATCTGACATTGCCTTTTCTTGGGAATCTAATAAAAACAACAAATTCCTACGCCCAAAGACCGTTTATTGATAATTCTTCAACTGATATTGATGATGATCGGCTTTCATTTGGAATGTCTTAGTTTATATCCCAATCCCAATTCAGTTGCTTTTAAAGCAGCGAATTATCTTTGCCGTTTAATCCGACCCTCGACTGTAACCTATACTTTTCTGCGCAAAATAAAATCATATGGTAGGTCGTTCACTATAATATCGATCTTTTATCTACCAAATAATATGTCTGTTATTTCATTTCGACGTTCTACGTTCTTTATTTCTTCTTTGTTTACCTTGCTTTTCCTTGCCCTAAATTCAATATTCATATTATGATCACACGATTCATTTAATTTTGATGTATAATGCAACTGAGGTCAATGGAAATCTACAACAAATACAAAGTAAGTTCAAAAGAATACGATGGCAAAGTCTTTCGAAAAATTATCCTCAGGGAATTTCAGTCATCTAATAACATTAGCGAACATTACAATAAACATATCACCCAATCCGAACATGAATTCTACGGGATATTTAAGAGTGTGTTGAAATTGCCCTCGACTTCGCTTAAAGTTAAACATGTAGCAATGTCGTTTAATCTAAAATTGAAAATTGCTTACTACCCACCACCCCTCCCCCCCCCCGCGAATTTTTTTTCCGTACTCGAGAGGGCAAATACCCCATGTGCGCATGCGCGTGGACTTGTGATTTCTCTGCTACTTCCCATACGAAATGTACATGTATTCGCATGTACTGTGCACGATTCGCGTTCTACGAGTAAACGATGGCATAGTAGTCTTCAAACACAGACTCTGATTTGCCAGTTTGACAAAACAATTACGCATATATCGTGCGTAGCAATAGTACTAGTATTCAAGTCTGAGTAGTTGTATGATTCAGACATTTTAGTGCTTACAGAAATGCATCCCAAATTGAATAGCATGGTATAGTAGTCTGCAAGCACAGACGCTAATCGGACAGTTTGACAACATAGTGTCTTGAGTAGTGCTTTATATTCAAATATGTGTAGTTTTATGATTCAGACCCTACTGGTGCGTGTATTGGAAAGGCATCTCAACTTGCAGAGTGGCATAGTAGTCTGCAAGCACAGACGCTAATCTGACAGTTTGACAAAATAGTGCAAGTTGAGATGCCTTTCCAATACACGCACCAGTAGGGTCTGAATCATAAAACTACACATATTTGAATATAAAGCACTACTCAAGACACTATGTTGTCAAACTGTCCGATTAGCGTCTGTGCTTGCAGACTACTATACCATGCTATTCAATTTGGGATGCATTTCTGTAAGCACTAAAATGTCTGAATCATACAACTACTCAGACTTGAATACTAGTACTATTGC